TTACTAGAAATTAAAGCAGTATTTTTAGGAATAAATTAAATTGTACCTGGACCGCTAGAAAAACTCTCATTTTTAGTAAATTATTAGGGTTAATGTGCTCATGAGTTAATTAAGGGCACAATCTTCCAGATGGATTTTGCCAATCGATTTCAAAAAGTTTACTGAAGTAGTCCCATTTAACATGTTTCCCATCAGGGTGAATCTAAAATAAAAAAATATTGTTAATTTTAAAAGTTTAATCATGGCGTACAATATTTTTAATAAACTTACTCTTAATTGTTTTTTGTTGAATAACCGATTGCGCACATTTTTGATCAAGTGTGGTGTATCGGAAAAAAAAACTTCCCTGTCAGCTACGGAAGGATGTGGAAAACTCGTTTTCAATTCATCTATTTTCCCGCTACAACCAAATATCGACCAAAATTTTTTATTTGTCGACGCTCCATCTGACACTACTCCTTGAACATAAACTCCGGCATTTTCCAAAACGACAATTGCTTGTAAAATTAGTTTTGCAAGTGTAGTTCCATTAGTCGGACCTTTTGACGTAAACACTGCAATGGGTTGACAATTGGATTGCGTCATTAAAGGCTGAAATGCAAAAACTAATCCATGGTCTGCTGCTTCATCAATAGTTTGAATTTTTCCATCACCATAATTTGTAAGACCCTCATATTGCATGTTTTTTAAATTTAATCTAATATTTTTACGAGACTTCATCTCGCCCAACATTAATATGCAATGTCGATTAATTTCTGGTTCTTTTTTAAACTTTTCGGCGATTAAGTGAATCCAATTTTAATTGAAGCCACAAGGTATATCGATGCATGACAAATATCTGAAATAAAATACGTATCAGTTTTAAACGTTTTACAACTATTTATGAATATAATTATATGACTTAGAATTAAATTTTAAAAACTAGTTATACCTTCTAATTGTACTAATACAAGGAAGTGGTAAGACTTTCAAGTCCCTCAAAAGTCGATACGATGCCGGAGATTTGATATGAAGAAGAAGACATAAATAAATCCAGTCTTCCGAGTATCTTCGTCCTTTAGTATTTGAACACTTTGATGCTTTTAATATTTCCATTATTACTATTTTTTCATTTTTATTGATTTTTTGTTCCACTAAATGAGCCTCTAAGTTTCTAGTATTAAATGAAGAACATTCCTTCTGCATATTAACTACTTTATTTTTCAGTGATTTTACACGCTTTTGACTATTAATTTTAATTTGTTTAGCACATTTTAATTTTTTCCTAATTAAATCCATTTTTCTTTTTCTGTTAGGACTCAAATTCAAAAGAATTCGCTGTTCATTTTTCTTATTTTGCAAACGCACGGTTTTATTTGCTAATGTCCTTTTAGCTTTCTTGCACGATGAGCAATGCTTAGAACGAATTGTACAACTTGAATCTAATATCAATTCACATTTATTGTGACGTAAAAATCCAAAACCATCGCGAGAAGCGAAAGATGTTTCAGAATTTCTAACAGAATTTGGTGTTGCACATCCTTCACATGTCCTGCATTTGTGAAAGTTTTGGAGTATATTTTCTATTTCTTGTACAGATGAGATATATGGATTTTTAAAGCCGAGTTTCGATAAATCTACGCGAAGATTCATAATAAATCCTTGAACAGTCATATCCTGATAGATGACCAACTTTTTTGAAAATACTGTTTTGAATATTCCATTGTCTATTCTACCTGTACATTGAAAGAACTGTATTGCACTGAAATTGTTTTCGTTAATATCATATCGAGACCAACCAGTGGGTATCGTAATTTGCTCTTTTGAAGAAGCAATTGATTCAAAAAATTGAATTCGTTCATGTTCTGAATTATCATTGGTCTCAGCCGACTCAGCAGAGGAAGCAGGTATATCTGTTTCAGTTTCTAAATTTTTACTGGATACCGGAGATGAAACTGTAACATTTTCTGAATTTATGATATTAACGTTTGATTCTGGGGAAACAAAATCAGAAGTGGTAGATGTTACACTATTTTCATTAGACGACTGAGTTTCCTTTAATATTGGTGAATTGGGCCTTCTCCTTTTTTCTGCGATTTTTAAATTACTCCTATTTTTCGGCGATTTTCGTTTAGATGCTTTCTTTGTTAAGTAAGATGGACAGATCGGGAAAATAGACGGTAAAGCACCTTTCCTTAATTTCGGTACCTTGTATTCTTCCTAGAATTACATATTAAAAATACATGTATGAATATAAATAATGTTTACATTAATTATTGTTAAGATTTTTATTTCAAACTCTTTATAAATATATTCAGAAATGTTGAAATTATATTAAAGACTGTTTGATTTTACGCGCGAGTTAAAAGAACGGAAGTACGCGGAAGATTACTGCCCTCTATGTTTTTAGAACTTTGTTTGATTATCCGGTGTAATGTTCAGTTCGATTCTATAACTTGTAATAGAAACATCTCCTTCTTTGTTTAAATAATAAATATCACTATTAGTTATCACATATGTTAATTCTTTGAGTATTAATTGAAACGATCCCGTCTAAATAATTCTAACAAGAAAAAGTCCTATCATTTTAATAGATTAATGTAAATTTTATCTTTTTTCTATTATATCAAAGTAAAAAAATTATTTCAATAATGTTTTTACTATATACTTACTGAAGCCATGACTTTTCCATTAGGATCTTTAACCTTTTTCGCCAAATAAGATCGTCGGGTTGAAAATGTTTACTACAAACCACTTGACCACTTTTTACAACAAAATTTTTTCTTAAAATTGCTCTTTCCCACTTTCTTACATTTTCTTCTCCAGACGGAACAGAAAGGAAATGCAATTTTATATTTTTGTCTGGATTCTGTTCATATCCCGATTTACAATTGGGAATAATACAGGAGTGGCCTTTATAATATTTTGACATGATCAATAAATAAATATTATAAAATATATTTTAAATAAAGCAATAATAATGAATAATTTTCAATTAAAAAGAACAATTTACTCTTTCACGTGTACACTTTGACATGTTTATCTACAGCAGGACGCGAGCTGCGCCATCTCGTGTTATAATTTTGAGTATAGTACGTATCATCACTAAGGCCAATGGGATATACATACGTAAACTGATGAAGTCGGACCGGGGTGGTTTCTGTAGACCAGTAGAGACAATGTGTGAAATTATTCTTAGTATGCCAAGTGCTTTCGTGGCTTCATTGGCAAGCATTTTTATGTGGGGTGTCCATGTAAGCCTGCGGTCCAAGAGTATCCCGAGATGTTTCATGGGCATTTTCACATAAAATTGTTGTAGAACCTAATTTTATGATGATGTCTTCGAAAGAAGACCGCGATTTCAAAAAGACACAGCATACTGTCTTATGAGGGGCTCCGTCCATACCCAGAGATTTGAGCCAGATGGAAAGACTCTCTAATGCGGCTGATGCATCTGTACCGAGATTTTGAGTGGAAGTAAATTTAATATAGATCATCCGCGTATATGACCGCCCTCATGTTCGGTGGTAGGTATAGTTCAAGATCCCTTAGGTAAAGATTAAATAATAGAGGTGACAATAATCCGCCCTGAGGAACTCCGACACCTCAGACTTTCGGATCAGATCCATCCGCTTGGAAGGAGACGAATCTTTTCCTGGTCATATGGTTGATCTAGTTGATCAGGAATGGGTGAAATTTTAATTGTTTCAGCATCGTGTTTAAGATAAGAGGACGAACGTTGTTAAAAGCGCCCTCTCATGTATTATACATCTGAATCACTGACCACATTTTTAAAAGAGGTTATGTTTATTTATTATGTCAGCCATTTTGGCACCACTATGCGCATGTGCAATGACTAAAGTTTTTTTAAGTAGAGGGGGGTTCGCGATAGGGGAAAATTAACTTATGAGAAGTTAATTTGTGTGAGATTCTACTGTAGTTGCAAGTTGACTAGGTATGATTTATATTTCTCATAAATTTTCCTTTAATGAATAACACAAAACTCGAGCAGTACTTTTGAACACAAATTCAGCAATATTTGGTTTGAAGATAATTTGAACTTTTACACTGACGTGAAGAGGAGCACGAAAATACTAGACTGACGAGTAAAGAACCACTTGTTAAAGATGAAATTTTTAGACTGACTTGTACGGAGCACCACTTTTTAATTGAGACTTATAATAAATACTAACGACTACATCTTATGACTACATTTTCTTGGCTAACTTTTCTGGATTGCGTTGCTGTTGATGGTCTGGCCCTTTTTATACCAAAAATTTGTATATTATCCCATGTATTTTACAAGTCTGTTCACTAAGCAATGTATTTTCCGTTTTTCTAAAATTCATTGTTGTAAGAACTTAGAACCGCTATTTCTGAAATGTCCAAAATGCAAATTTTCACTATTTATTGTATTAAGACTACAAAATACATTCTATAACGTTCTAAATAACATAAAATTATAGGAAAACGATCGCTGAACACAATTATTTACTTGCTGACTTGATTAAATTCCATTTTGTTACTATTTGCAACCAATTTGCTTAGGCGGCCAACTTAGGACCACTCTTCCCTATTATTGTTGTTTATTGAAAATATGTAACATTACAATTTTTTATTAATTATTTATTATACAATTAAATTGTTAGAATTAACAGTGTGTTAATAACAGTTATTTGTTGCTAATTTTATTATTATTAATGATAATTTAATATATTTTTATTAGTTTTGATTGTTATTCCCATTATTATTATTATTTTATTAGTTATACATATTGTTTATTGAAAATATGTTACGATGACGTAACATTATGTAGTAACTTAAAAACACCAGTTTTTAGCTTTAAAATGAAATTTTGGGGGTGTATGAGTGATTCAATACATACCATTCTCCTTAGATTCTCATGACAAACAAGTTAGAATAAATCCGATTTAAATTAATTTTACTTTTTTATTGTTTGTAACACTATATTATACATTTAAGAATATTAATCAAATTTTATGATACAAAAATTTTTGCAGAGGATTAACGGATGAAAGTGAAATTTTAAAATTTCTTCAGCATGGCACACTTGTGGGCTTATTGCCAGTGCCTCATCCAATACTTATTCGACGATATCAAGCAAATACTGGAACAACAGCCTGGTTCAGAACCTACATGTGGGGTGTTATTTATTTAAGGAATGTAGAACCACCAATATGGTACGACACCGATGTTAAATTATTTGAGATACAAAGAGTTTAAGAATCATGTCTTTATAAACATTACATGAATCATATAATTACATCTGTTGCAAAAACAATTTGATGAAAACAATTTTTGTGTGTCATAATATTGATCGATTAATCACACTCAATTTTTATAGGATTTTTCAGTAGAATCAAAATCTTACTTTGAAAAATATTTTATTTATTCTACATTAAAAAAGAATAATAAGGTTTTCAAGGACCAATATTGTAATATTTCTAAAATATTAACATTCATTTAATAATTTTTTAAATATCATAACTGGTAGCATAATAGAGTCAGTATTTTATATATAAAATTTTTATATACGTGAACTGTTTGTGTACGCGATACACATCTGAATACATTTTAAATAATTGTAAACTGTAATATATTCCTTTTTGTCTTTTTCTTTTGTAACATAATTTTATTTATTTATTTATTTTATGTAATTCAATTAGAGGTATGACAGTTATAATTATTACAATTTTCGTAAAGTTTTTATGTTTAACAAGTAATCGTCATGTGAAGAGTTAGAGTTTCAAAAATTACAAAATGGTAGATACAATATAGCCGACAATTCTTCAGAAGTTGGATTTTTGCTTGAAACTTGTTAATTGGGGTTTTTTGGTCGCTGATTTTTATTTTGATAATTATATATAGTTTGAGAGGCTTTTTATTTCTTTCTTTAGAGAAGATTTCGCATTAAAAAGTAGATTCAATCAAATATTTTTCCATTGTCTGATTTCAATTTTAAAGAGAAAATCCTGTAAAAATCATTTTTAATTATCCGTCAATATAATAAATATCGAAATTTTTTGGCCTGTGTAATAGTTTAAAGTTACTGTTTTTAAAAAATATTAAATTGTCATTCTCCTTAGGTATGTAAACTATTTCCTTACCTCAAATTAATGTGACATTCCTTCTCATTCTACTTTTTACTGATACTATTTCTCAAATCTTTCTATTTAAAAAGAAATTATATCGTAAATATTTATATGAAACGAAAACAAATTATTTCAGAAGCTTATTTTCACAGAACAGTATTTTAAGTACAAAATAAAACAGTTTCTGTATTGTGTGCAATAAATAATGGTTTGTTTACAATTCGATGTGAATTTTTACTTTCCCTTAAAAAAAATACCTAAATTACTCTAAACACGTTTTGTAAATTAAAACGGTATATTTTACATCAAGTACAGAAAAAAGTCGTTTTTTCAAATAGTTTAAAAACTGTTACGTCCGTAACTTCTTGTTAATATACCTAATTTAACTTCGATACTTAAGAATGTATTTCCTATTTTTTTGATATTGTATTTTACTTATACGTTGTATTATTATTCTATGTATTTCATATTATTGCATTGTAATTAGCATATTTTATATATCTCATATGTATCTAAACAATTTGCAAGTATAATGAATTCAAGAAAGATGAGTAATATTTTAAATCATGTAAAAAGAATAACGTTAGTGCATCAGTTAAACGACCTTCAAAAAATCTTCGCCACAGGCAGGAAAACAAACAAGCATTGCAGTCGCCGACACCCCCACTTAAAATCTACCCAAAATCGACACGTGTAGAAGAGTCAACAGTCGCCCCGAATTGCAGCAGCATTGCCGTCGCCCGACACCCCCACTTAAAATCTACCCAAAATCGACACGTGTAGAAGAGTCAACAGTCGCCCCGAATTGCAGCAGCATTGCCGTCGCCGAGACCCCCACTTAAAATTCACACTTGAATGATTTCAAAGCATTACATTAATGAAGACAGTTTTATATAAAAGGGATACAAATTCTGCAGATATCAGAGAGTAGTTTTTTAGAAATCAACTTGAACACATCGCTTAGTATCAGAGAGTAACTATTTAGAAATTAACCTGAACACATCGTTCAGAACAAAAGACTAGAGAGTAATTTTTTGGGAATCAACCTGTACACATCGCTCAGTCATTATCAAATTGTCTACAAGTAAACATCGCATAGTTTACAAGTGAATTAAAAGTACATCTTTGAAAGTGAAACGTATAACCCCAAGTATTATTTTGAACGTACATTATTAAAAGTGAACTATTTCCCCAAGTATTAAATAAGAAGTGAACTTTAAACAACCTCTTATAATAAATTTGCAAAGTATAAATTTTAAACAATTTCCAAAAATATTAAATTGGAAATAATCTCAACTATCAACGAAGACCTAATATTGAAACAACACATTCCAAATTTCGAACCATCGAAATTTGCTCAAGAGGCGACAACCGTCTGGAAGGAAGCAGATATTTTAACAATACAATACACTATCTCATTAGTGTGAACAAGAGGTCTAATACCCAACCACTAAGGACAACAAACAAAAGGCCCCTTTTCGTCTACCGCTCATCACCATTGAGATCGGACAACAGATTATCATCACACCACCAGTAATTGTTATTCTTTAAGTAAGATTCATAATTTTTGTACTCATTGTAATTTTGTCAACTCTTTTCTTTCTTGTTGGTTTTTAAATAAATTATTCTCTCACATTTAGTAGGCTCATTGACTTATCCTCATCCCAAATTGGATTCATTTATGAAACCAATTTAAAACGAGGAACGTTAGGTATATTTAAAAAGGTTTCTCGTTTTGACGTAACAAAACTAACAATCAAGACAAAAGGCAAAATTCTTAAGGGGTTACGCCAACCTGAACGCATTTCAATTGGATGGTTTTTTAGGAATTTTTTTTTAAATATTTAAGATAAGACATTTTTATTGTTGCTTAATACATATATATATTGTAAGCTATGTAAATACGAAATAGTTTTGAAAAAAATTTTAAATGGCGGAGATACACGCATTCCAGTGCAGCAGTACATTCCTTGATGGTGGGCATGATTGGCATTTCAATTATTCCAATTATAGTGAATATTATTATTGGCATAAAACTGTTTTCGGAAAGTTCATTCACAGTATCGTAGCTGAGAAAATATGTTCGGCCATTTAAATCCGATTTTATTTTAAATACTTTTTGAAGTATTGTATGCAACTAAAAAGTGCAGTGCCAGTTACTGCAAACTATATGAAACATGAATTATATAATTTACAATTCAATCAAAAGAATTATGTTATTACCTTCTCTATAAAAGTCATTCCTAATTTTTGAAATCCAAAAGTTGTAAAAATTATTGGCAATTGAATTATCTGTTGGCGTAAGTCATCCATCTAAAATATTGTTAAACAATTATGAGCATTGATAACTAGGACATTAAAAATATAAATTAAAATTCATATAATTATATAAATATAATGATTCTATTCATTAAGCATCACTGTGAGAAAATTACTTTTACTTCTAATGTTTTGGTGTAGTCACTTTTTAGTTATTTGAAATATACATTAAGATGTTAAAAATCTTATTGTAATTTTTCTTCCGTAATTTAACTATGTTTTTAAAAAAATAAATTTTGAGTTTAACCTTTATTCTTCGTGTGTTTATAAAATACCAATTATGTTAATTATTTTTGCTTTGATTCCAAACATTCTTATTACCTCTTCTACAAGTGAAGCGTTTAACTTGTAATTTACCAATTCTGATAGATTTTTGATCATCTCATCGCTCTAAAATAAAATTTTTTAAATTTATGAATATGAACTTGTAAATTTTAATTTATTGAAATTATTTTAAATTTAACATTTACCTGCTTCTCGATTTGACAACATGGCGCGACAATGAGAAAAAATCTTAAAGCGCTTTTAGTAACTTTTAGTAAACATAAATAAAATAAAATAATATCTTTACAAGAATATGCTGATATTGCGATGCTAATCCATGTCGCTAAATTATATAGGTTAGATAACATTTGCAAAAGTAAATGCATTTCATAAATTTGATTGACCTGCTTAGAATGAGTGTAAAGGCTCAAATAAATGTATCTGAAAAAATATTTTTTTATGGTAAATTCAATATAAGAAATTTATTTAGGAATATGTATATTTCTGAGTATATATGCCAATAAAAACATCTTTGATGCATAAAGTTCCGCCAAGTGAAAGTTTTTGCAAATGTCCAAACAATAATTAGTGAAATAAAAGTTTACCAAGTAAAATTTATAACTAAAGATTTAATATTGAACTGTAACAAATATAAATTTTAATTTAATGATTAACATAAGCTGCTAATGAAATACAATTATTCGTCATAATAAAAAATTGCTTCTAATAGAATTTTTTATTATGACGAATAATTGGATTTTTAACCAATTAATAATATTTCAGAATATTTTACAAATCCGTTTAGAAGTTTAGTCTACGTTTGTCTTAATTTTTAAAAAATTTAATTTAATTTAATTTTTTCGGAAAAATCTAAATATTTAAAAAAATACGAAATGTTTTGGAATTTCCTGAAATACATATCGAGATTTTAACCCAATTAATAATGATAAAGTACATGTTTCGGCAATCTGTTCACTTTTTTTGTATCTTAACTTTTTTATAATTTTCTTTTTCAAATGTTTTCAATTTTAAAATTAATGTATTAAAAATCATCAAATTGTTGGAAAGAATTTTATCAAAAAATTTGATAATAATAGAATTCCTTCAAAGAATTTTATTATTTAGGAAAATAACTGAATTCTCGCAAAGAATTTTATTAAAATTTTTAAAAATCCTGATTAAATTCTTTTAAAAAATTTCTATGAATTTTTTTAAAACTAATGGAGTTTCTTTAATAATTTTAATTGAAAATTTTGAAAGCAATTGAATTATATGAAGAAGAATTTTATTAAAATTGAATTGAATACAATTGAATTCTTGCGAAGAATTTTACTATTTATTAAAATAATTGAATTGTTTCGAAGAATTTATTAAAATTTTAGGGAATAATTGAAATTTATGGAAATATTTAATAATATTTGAATTCATTCGAGGAATTCAATTAAAATTGTTTTGAAAATAATTAAATTTCTACAAAGAATTTTACTATTTATAAAATTAATTGAATTCTTGCGAAGAATTTTACTATTTATAAAAATAATTGAAATATTTCGAAGAAATTATTAAAATTTTAAGAAATAATGAAATTGTTATGAAAATTTTTTTTAGAAATATTTGATAATAATGAAATTTTTTCGAGAAATTCAATTAAAGTTGTTTTGAAGATCCTAATTGAATTTCTTTAAAGAATTTTATTAAAATTAAGTATATTCAAAATAATTTAATTCATCACAAGAATTTTATTATTTTTTGAAAATATATGAATTCTTTCAATTTTAAATTCTTGTTTGAATTTTATAGAAACTTTCGAAATTAATTAAATTCTTTCGTGTAATTTTATTTAAATTTGATTAAAAATAATTGAATTCCTGCGAAGAATTTACTATTTACAAAATTAATTTAATTCTTGCGAACAATTTTACTATTTATAAAAATAATTGAAATTTTTCGAATTCTTTCTTTTATCATTCTTTATCAAAAAAAAAAATTGAGCAAAATCGGTTAAGATTTACTCGAGTTATTTGATTTTATTGATACATAGTCAATATATTTTGAGAATATATATTTGCGGTTTTTACTTTTTACTTGGCGGCGATTATCTAAAACTTACTTTATTTTTTGCAAACATCT